TTCTGGACCAGTTGGAGCCTCCGGGTGCTCTTCAAGGGGAGCCCCATGTAGAGAGCGTTGCAGTAGTCCAGGCGAGAGGTGACGAGTGTGCACAGGGAATCCCGATCAAGAAAGGGTCTGATCTGATTTTGATTTGATGCCTGTTTCTACAACCAAGGATTGTATTGGCTTTCCCCCCCCCCCTTCTCTTCTAATATGCCTTTGAAGATCCTGCTGGTTTGCAATAAAGGGCTTTCCTTTCCCTCCGCTGAACACAATATTTTCGGTGAATTTTAGATGCCTTCTCTCCGCTTCTCTCCAAAAGTGGAATGAAGCTGCCACCTACCGTTTGCAGGAAGGAAATGTCCTGTGGCACCGTTGGCAAAAAGTACGTAGAACATATTATGTCAGGTCAGAGTTGGCTTGCTGTCAGGGTACCGACGGATGCCCTAATTAAATCATGAGCCTCGAGCCAAGTTTCAAAAGAAATTCAGTTATTTATTAGAAGCTCCATGTCCCCACGTTCCCAAATGAAGCCAATTCTGACCCTACGTAATTTTACGGCCCTAATCATAACCCTGTTTCCCCCTCTCCCCCACACAGGGTTTGTCATCAATCACATTCGCCAACGGAACAATTTTGCGGATTGTAGAAACCACTCCCTTTCCGGCCGCTGTGGGTAACCCTGGGAGACAGCCTAGAGAAAGATATATCTGGAATGCACTCCTGTCTTTGGCTGCCGGCTGCTTCGTCGGTTTTCTATCCCACTTGCCTAAGGCAACTCGAGAGCAGGCCAGGGATGCTTTGCGAGTTGACAATAATAGGGTTGGAAGGGACCTCGGAGGTCTTCTAGTCCAACCCCCTGCTCAAACAGGAGACCCTATACTATTCTGGAGAAATGGCTATCCAGTCTCTTTTTAAAAACCACCTGTGATGAAGCACCCACAACTTCTGGTGGCAAGCTGTTCCACTGATGAATTGTTCTCACTGTCAGGAAGTTCAAAATTACAACGGCACTGAAAAGATACCTTGTTTTCACACTTAACGACCGTTGCAGCATTCCCATAATCACATGATCAAAATATAGATGTTTGGCAATTGGTTCATACTTATGACCGTTGCAGTATCCCGGGGGTTATGCGATCACCTTTTTGCGGCCTTCTGACAAGCAAAGTCAATGGAGAGGCCAGATTCATGTAACGACCATGTTACGAACTTAACAACGGCGGTGATTCACTTAACAACCGTGGAGAGAACGGTTGTGAAATGGACCAAGGCCTGTTTTTCACCCTCCCTAGGCTCCAAGAAAGCCTCTGAAAACAGCCTTCCCCCCAACCCCGGAGACCTCTGGAGGCCCCTCCAGTGGGCACGGAAGGCCCAAAAAACAGCTGGCCGGCACATACATGCACGCTGCAGCTGAGCTAGGGCAACGCTTGCGTGCCCACAGATATGGCTCCGCGTGCCACAGGTGGCACGCGGGCCATGGGTTCGCCATCACGGTCCTAGACCAAGCTAAATCCAAAAACACTAGAGAAGCCTGGCACTCAAACAAATCAATCAATCTATACAGATTAACAGAATGGGAAGGGACCTTGTAGGTCATCTAGTCCAACCCCCTACAGCAGGAGATCCTATACCATTTCTGACAGATGGCAGCCCAGTCTCTTCTTGATAGCTTCCAGGGATGAAGCTCCCACAACTTCTGAAGGCAACTTCTGTTCCATGGGTTGATTGCTCAGAAGCTGGAAGGGACCTTGGAAGTCTTCTAGTCTAACCCCCTGCTCAACCAGGAGATGCTACCTACACCATTTCAGACAAGTGACTGCCTTAGTCCTTTTCTTAAAAACCTAATGAAGCACCCACAGCTTCTGGTGGCAAGCTGTTCCACTGGTTAATTGTCCTCACTGTTAGGAAGTTTCGCCTTAATTCCAGGTTGCTTCTCTCCTTGGTTAGTTTGCATCCGTTGTTTCTTATCTTGCCTTTCTGGTGCTTTGGAAATTTAATTAATTTAATGTAATTAATCATATTTCTATGCCGCCCAACTCCCTAGGGAAAATAAGCTGACCCCCCCACCTCCCCTCTTCTTTGTGGCAGCCTCTCAAATACTGGAAGACTGCGATTATGTCCCCGTCCCTCCCCCAGTCCTCCTTTTCTCTAGACCGGCCAAAACCCTAATCCTGCAACTGTTCGTCATGTGTTTTAGTCTTCACGCCTGGACACCCGGAGCTCCTGATGGGATGATGAGCTATGAATAAACATGATAAATAATCTCCAATTCTTGGCGCAGTTGGGCTCTTCAGCTGGCCATCTGGGGAAATGACTAACGGAGTATATTTTAAAGAAATCACAAGATGCACAGGGATAATAAGTCAAGTATTTTGGGGACCCGTGTCGTACCTCCCACTTCCGCTCTCCTGATTCCCCCCCTCCCCCAGGAGGAATATATAATTATAATTCTGGGCAAAGAGCCAAAAAATTCAAAGCAGAAAACTTCATGAGGCATCTTTGAACAGGAGAAGCCTCCTCGGTGGGAAGATGTTCTCCAGGAGACATGTGGGGTCCATGATTTAAACTCTGCATCAGATTCTTAATTTCGAGATACGGTGAGCTCTTGCCGCAACGGGTAGTCCTCGACTTACATCAATTCATTTAGCAACCGTTCAAAGTTACCACGGCACTGAAGAATGTGGCTTATGACGGTTGCTTCTGCCAAAGAATATGTTCAGTTTTGACCTAGATGGCCTCTTTGACTGCTCTTTCAAACCAGCGACCCTCTCTGTCCAAAATGTGGACGTTGCAGTCTTCAAAAGAGTGGCTTGTGTCTTTTAAGTGCAGATGGACTGCTGTCTCTTGTTTGTTGTGCCATGTGTTTGTGAAGTGGCTGTTTTGTTTCCCCAATGTAAGAGCAAAAGAGAAGTCTTGTGCTGGATTAGGCACTGTCTTCTTCTGCTGCTGCTTTCAGTGGGACACACTTCTGGCAGGTCATCATAAAAGGCCATCATTCCCAGGCTGGCTCAGGAATTCTGGGAGTTGAAGTCCACAGGCCATAAAAGACCCATCGTTCCCTCATGCTAGCTCAGGAATTCTGGGAGTTGAAGTCCACAAGCCATAAAAGACCCATCGTTCCCTCATGCTGGCTCAGGAATTCTGGGAGTTGAAGTCCACAGGCCATAAAAGACCCACCGTTCCCTCATGCTGGCTCAGGAATTCTGGGAGTTGAAGTCCACAGGCCATAAAAGACCCACCGTTCCCTCATGCTGGCTCAGGAATTCTGGGAGTTGAAGTCCAGAGGCCATAAAAGACCCATCGTTCCCTCATGCTGGCTCAGGAATTCTGGGAGTTGAAGTCCACAGGCCATAAAAGACCCATCGTTCCCTCATGCTGGCTCAGGAATTCTGGGAGTTGAAGTCCACAGGCCATAAAAGAGCCATCGTTCCCTCATGCTGGCTCAGGAATTCTGGGAGTTGAAGTCCACAGGCCATAAAAGAGCCATCGTTCCCTCATGCTAGCTCAGGAATTCTGGGAGTTGAAGTCCACAAGCCATAAAAGACCCATCGTTCCCTCATGCTGGGTCAGGAATTCTGGGAGTTGAAGTCCACAGGCCATAAAAGACCCACCGTTCCCTCATGCTGGCTCAGGAATTCTGGGAGTTGAAGTCCAGAGGCCATAAAAGAGCCATCGTTCCCTCATGCTGGCTCAGGAATTCTGGGTTGAAGCCCACAGGCCATAAAAGCCATCGTTCCCTCATGCTGACTCAGGAATTCTGGAAGTTGAAGCCCACAGGCCATAAAAGAGCCATTGTTCCCTCATGCTGGCTGAGGAATTCTGGAGTTGAAGTCCACAGGCCATAAAAGAGCCATCGTTCCCTCATGCTGGCTCAGGAATTCTGGGAGTTGAAGTCCACAGGCCATAAAAGAGCCATCGTTCCCTCATGCTGGCTCAGGAATTCTGGAGTTGAAGTCCACAAGCCATAAAAGACCCATTGTTCCCTCATGCTGGCTGAGGAATTCTGGGAGTTGAAGTCCACAAGTCATAAAAGGGCCATCATTCCTCATGCTGGCTGAGGAATTCTGGGAGTTGAAGTCCACAGACCATAAAAGACCCATTGTTCCCTCATGCTGGCTCAGGAATTTTGGGAGTTGATGTCCACAAGCCATAAAAGGGCCATCGGTCCCTTATGCTGGCTGAGGAATTCTGGGAGTTGAAGTCCACAAGCCATAAAAGACCCATTGTTCCCTCATGCTGGCTGAGGAATTCTGGGAGTTGAAGTCCACAAGTCATAAAAGGGCCATCATTCCTCATGCTGGCTGAGGAATTCTGGGAGTTGAAGTCCACAGACCATAAAAGACCCATTGTTCCCTATGCTGGCTCAGGAATTTTGGGAGTTGATGTCCACAAGCCATAAAAGACCCATCGTTCCCTCATGCTGGCTCTGGAATTCTGGGAGTTGAAGTCCACAGGTCATAAAAGTGCCACCATTTCCCACCCTGGTGCAGAACTGTCTTTCTCAACCTTGACAACTTTAAGATGTGTGGACTTCAACTCCCAGAATTCCCCAGCAAGCCATGCTTATGTAGAGAAAGCTGAAAAACTTACGGGAGGTGGGAGGGAAGGCAGATAATAATGCCCAAAAGAGCACATCATAAAAAGAAAAGCAGATAAAAAATATGATTCAACCACTGAATAATCATACGAATTCTTGGAAAAATACCTGACATTTAAATAAATGCCATTTAAAACTTTTGTGTACTTAATGGTTTTTTTAAAATTATTTATTGGTTCAGCTTTTTTCTCATCTGAGGGGATCCTGCCACTTAATTTATGCTTCTCCAATCTTAAGAAGTAATTCTAGGAGCCAAAGATATTTCCCTTGCCACGTGATCTACGCAGATGGCAAATATTCTCTAATGATTTATATGGGTAACTCAAGGAATATTTTGAAAGGAACTGAAGATAAAGAGCAGTTTTAGGTTTCCCAGGAGATGCAATCTTTTACTTATAATTGGAGATGATAAAGAAGATTATAAAGCAGAAATGCAGGCAAGATTTTGATTTCTGTTTAAGAACCTGTGAAGCCTTCCTTCCTTCCTTCCTTCCTTCCTTCCCATCCATCTTTCTCTTCTTTCCTTCTGATATCTCCTTCCCCTTCCTTCCTTCCTTCCCTCCCGCCTATCAAACTTTCTTCTTTCTCCCTCTGATATTTCCTTCTCTTCCTTCCTTCCCCCTCCTCCTCCCTTCTTTTCTTCCCTCTTTTCCTTTCTCCCTCTCTCCATCTTTCCTTCCCTCATCCCTCTCTTCTTCTCCGAGATTCTTCTCCTTCCTTCCTTCCTATCAATCCTTTCTCCCTTTGACATTTCCTTGTCTTCCTTCCTTCCTTCTCTTCCTTCCTCCCTTCTTTCCATCCTGCCCTCTTTTCATTTCTTCCTCTCTCCCTTTCCTTTCCAGCCATCCCCCTCCTCTTCCTCTGAGATTCTCCTTCCTTTCTTCCTTCCTCCCTTCCCTTCCCTCCCCTCCCCTCCATCTCTCTCTTCTTTCTCCTTCTGACATCTCCTTCTCCTTCCTTCCCTCCCTCCCTCCTTCCTATCAATCTGTCTTCTTCCTCTGACATTTCCTTGTCTTCCTTCCTTCCTCCTTTTTCTTTCCTTCCTCCCTTCTTTTCCTCTCTTCCTCTCTCCCTTTCCTTTCCATCCACCCCTCTCTTCTTTCTCCCTCTGAGATTCTCCTTTTTTTCTTCCCTTCCATGCATCTCTCGCTTCTTTTTCCTGGCATCTTTCTCCTTCCTTCCTTCCTTCCTTCCTTCCTTCCTTCCTTCCTTCCTTCCTTCCTTCCTTCCTTTTCCCCTTCCTTCCTTCTTTCCTAACAATCCTCCTTCTTTTTCCTTCTGACATTTCCTTGTCTTCCTTCCTTCCTCCCTCCCTTCCTTCCTCCCCTTTTCTTTTCTTCCTCTCTCCCTTTCCTTCCCATCCATCCCTCTCTTCTTTCTCCTTCTGACATCTCCTTCCTCTCTTCCCTCTTTTCCTTTCTTCCTCCCTTCTTTCCTTCCCACCCACCCCTCTCTTCTTTCACCCTCTGAGATTCCCTTCTCCTTCCTTCCTTCCTTCCTCCCTTTCTCCCTCCCTTCAATTCCTCCCTTCCTACTCTGCCCCAACCATCAGGGAGAGGAGATCTGGGAGCAAAGACTCAGGAGCATACCAACCTTTGAGGCTGGCCGGGAAGAGGAGGTGAAGTTGTAACCCCTGTTTCCAGACTGGCATCTGGTCTCACTCCAGTAGCAACATCTGGGGGAGGCTGGAGGTGCCTCCAGAGAGGCATCTCTCTCTCTTGCAGCCGGAGCCCTGGATTGCATCCTTCCGTCTGACCACAACAGAGGACACAACTGTGTTAGTTCTCGTCCGTCTCCCGGGCAGCTCAAACCCAGGAATTAGGGACTGAAGAATAAGACTGGGCAGAAGAAAATGCCACAAGCCAAGAGGAGATATCGGCTACCTTTCTCTTCTCTTTCGCCTCTTTCAAGGTAACATTTCCCCCCCCCCACCCTTCATCCTTTTGAAATAAGATCTCAGTTCCTCAGTCCTAAATTGCACGAAGGGACCAAAGATATTTTTTTTTCCTCATCTGGCCTGTTGCTTGACGAAGCCAGAAACGAGATTCGGTGAAAAATCCCATTTTCTCTTTTGGAACCTATTTTATTTTTCCACCCTTATTTATTAAATGTATTGACCGCTCGTCTTACCGCAAGCTATCTCGGCCAAGTTCATCCTCCCGGCTGACGCTTTTAACTCTGGCTATGCAAAGATCTCCCTTTTAATATAATATGCTGTTAAGAATGCCAACAATCCAATAGGTTGCTTATCTTGTATTTGATAATAAAAGATATCTTTGCCCCTGAAAGGGAACGTAAGTGATATGCGGCTATTAAAAGCAATTTTCTGAAAGCAATTTTTCCAAAGGTAATGGAAAAGAAGGAAGAAAGGAAGGAAGGAAGGAGAAGAAAGAAAGAAAGAGAGAGAGAAAGAAAGAAAGAAAAAGGAAGGAAGGAAGGAAGGAAGGAAGGAAGGAAGGAAAGAAAGAAAGAAAGAAAGAAAGAAAGAAAGAAAGAAAGAAAGAAAGAAAGAAAGAAAGAAAGAAATCAATCCATGGTAGTTTATTGCACCAAATTAACAGACGGATGGCAATTGAAAAGTTAATCATGATTGGTGAGCTACTTGATCAAGATGTAAGTGGGGTTATTCTTGGAACAGGAGTTTAGATCCTGGCTAGGTAAAGGAAGAAGCAAATGATAGATCAGAGGAAAAATGAAGAACAGGAGCTACAGACTGTGAAAATGATTTTTACTGATTGTGGCCATTTCTTTGCTGAGTGTCTTCAATCATAAAAATCTCCCCCCCAAAATTCCCTTTTCTCTGCTTGGTGCAAGTCTTTTTGGCTGTCATCTTCTCAGAATTCTCCTTTTTTGGTAGTATATAGTCAATTTTGATTCATTTGCAAATGCCTCCTGTTTAATATTCCGTCTGAGAATAATTCAGCTAAGGCTGTTTCCAGTAACTCTTTATTTTCTTGTATCGGATTGTCTTGTTTGACTTTATTATTTTATTTTTACTGTTTTATTTTGTCTTTACTTTTTATTTAACTTTCTTTTCATCGTTTGCCAAGTTTTATTCTATTATTTAATTTACTCCATTCTATTATTTTATGATTCGTTAAGATTCGGCGCAGATGTGATAAGAGGAAGACGGTGCAGAAAAATCGAATAAGCGTAAAGAGAGTGATGGATTATTTCTCACTATGGAGGGGAAAAAATGGCTGGAGGGAAAAATGGTTTGGGGTTTGAGGTGGCAGCATTAAGTTTTAAACGAAGAAGAGATTTTATTCAGTCCTGATTCCATTGGGAAATGGCTTCTCTTATTTTTAAACTCGGAATAAAAAAGAAAAAAAGAAACAAGACTTTGATTTCAAGATTGAATCATTGTGTGGTTACAGAAAAAGCTTGAACTAAATGAAATTCATTTGTTCCTCAACTTACGACCACAATTGAGCCCAAAATTTATGTTGCTAAGCAGGACAGTCATTAAGTGAATTTTGCCTCATTTTACGACCTTTCTTGCCACAGTTGTTAAGTGAGTCATTGCAGTTGTTAAGTTAGTCACACGGTTGTTAAGTGAATCTGGCTTCCCCATGGCTTGTCAGAAGGTCGCAAAAGAGAATGACTCCAGGACACGTCACAAATATGAGTCAGCTGCCAAGTGTCTAAATTTTGATGACGTGACTGTGGGGATGTCATAAGTGTGAACAATGGTCCTATGTCGTAAGTCCCTTTTTCAGTGGGGTTGTAACTTCAAACGGTCACTAAATGAACTGTTGTAAGTTGAGGACTACCGCCATGTTGGTTGTGTAGCTAGGGACCTTTCTCAGGTATTTATGGAGGAAAGGATGAAGTATCTCCATGACTTTGACTTCAAGGTCAACCGCTGTAGCTAACTACCCACTGTTATGAAAACCTAAAGCCAACTCATGATCCATTCCTATTCTCCATGCAGCCATCAGCTTGAAGATGTTGATAAAGATCCAATCCAGTCAACTTTGGGAGCTGCGACCTCTCCTTGTGGAGATCACGAAGCAGGAGCGTCTCTTCCTGGAAGTCAACATTCATGACTGAAGGACTTTCCCAACTCAATGAACCAAGGGCCGAACTCTCCAATGCCACCAACTCCACCGATTGCGGAGAGGACATCGTGCTGTATGGGGACACGGAAAAAGTGGTCATTGGGATAGCCATCTCCATCATCACCCTGCTGACCATCGCGGGGAACAGTCTGGTGGTCATCTCCGTGTGCACCGTCAAAAAGCTCCGGCAACCATCCAATTATCTGGTGGTTTCTTTGGCCGCTGCGGACTTGTCCGTCGCCCTGGCGGTCATGCCTTTTGTGATCATCACGGATTTGGTGGGAGGCAAATGGCTGTTCGGAGAAGTCTTCTGCAACGTGTTCATTGCCATGGACGTCATGTGTTGTACGGCGTCCATCATGACCCTCTGCGTCATCAGCGTGGACAGGTAAGGGGTATGATGATGTTCTTCAGGTTTGATCATAGAAGATGGGAGTGATCCTGGGCGATCATAGATGGAGATGACCAGGGGAACTAGACCTCCTCCATCTGAGATCTTCCAGGGGTGGTGGTCTTCAAAGACTCTGTTGAAGTCCAGCGCATTCAGAAGATCCCAAGGAGAGATAAGCTAATCTAGGTTGTTCATATCTATCTAATCCAATCCAATCTAATCTAATCATCTAAATCTAATCTATTCTAATCTAATCTAATCTAATCAAATCATCTAAATCTAATCTATTCTAATCTATTGTAGTCTATTCTAATCTATTCTAATCTAAATCTAATCATCTAAATTTAATCTAAATCTAATCTAATTCTAATCTAAATCTAATCTATTCTAATCTAATCTAATCTATTCTATTCTATTCTATTCTATTCTATTCTATTCTATTCTAATCTAATCTATTCTAATCTACTCTACTCTAATCTAATCTAATCTAATTTAATCATCTAAATCAAATCTAATCTATTCTAATCTAATCTAATCTAATCATCTAAATGTAACCTATTATAATCTATTTTATTCTAATCTAATCTAATCATCTGAATCTAATCTAAATCTAATATATTTAATTTAATTTAATTTAATTTAATTTAATTTAATTTCCAATTTATATACCGCCCTTCTCCCTGAGGACTCAGGGCGGTGTACAGCCAAGATAAAAAACATAGAATACAAATATTAAAACATTTAAAAATATATATAAATTTTGGCCCGAAGTTAAGAATCACAGACTAATTAAAAGAATTTAAAATTTTCTTCTTAAGCCAACCCGGCTTGCTGAAAAAGATGGGTTTTCAGGGAACGACGGAAGGCATTGAGGTCTTGGATTCTCCTTATCTCCGGGGGCAGCTGATTCCAGAGGGTGGGAGCCCCCACAGAGAAGGCCCTCCCCCTGGGGGCCACCAGCCTACATTGTTTGGCTGATGGCACCCTGAGGAGGCCCTCTCTGTGGGAGCGCACGGGTCGATGGGAGGTCGTCGGTAGCAGCAGGCGGTCTCGAAGATAGCTAGGCCCTATGCCATGGAGCGCTTTAAAGGTGATAACCAACACCTTGAAGCGCACCCGGAAGACCACCGGGAGCCAGTGCAGCTCGCGCAGGAGCGGTGTTACATGGGAGCGCCATGTTGCTCCCATCACTACCCGCGCTGCTGCATTCTGGACCAGCTGGAGCCTCCGGGTGCTTTTCAAGGGGAGCCCCATGTAGAGAGCGTTGCAGTAGTCAAGGCGAGAGGTGACGAGGGCGTGAGTGACTGTGCACAAGGAATCCCGATCAAGAAAGGGCTGCAACTGGCGAATCAGGCGAACCTGATAAAAGGTCCCCCTGGTAACAGCCGTCAGATGTTCCTCCAAGGACAGCTGCCTATCCAGGAGGACTCCCAGATTGCGAGCCCTTTCTGTGGGGGCCAAAGACTCACCCCCAATAGTCAGTGATGGAGTCAACTGACTATATCGGGATGCCGGGAGCCACAGCCACTCAGTCTTGGAAGGGTTGAGCTTGAGCCTGTTCCTCCCCATCCAGGCCCGCACGGCCTCCAGACACTGGGACATCACTTCAAGGGCATCGTTGGGGTGGCCTGGGGTGGAGATGTACAGCTGGGTGTCATCAGCGTACTGGTGGTATCTCATCCCAAAGCCACGGATGATCTCGCCCAGCGGCTTCACATAAATGTTGAACAGAAGGGACGAGAGGACCGATCCCTGCGGCACTCCACAAATGAGAGGCCTCGAGGTCGACCTCTGCCCCCCTGCCAACACAAACTGCGACCGGTCGGAGAGAAAGGAGGAGAACCACCGCAACACATCTAATCTAATTTAATCATCTAAATCTAATCTAAATCTATTCTAATCTAATCTAATCTTAATGTGATCTAATCTAATTCTAATTCTAATCTTAATCTTATTTTATCTAATCTAATCTGTAATCTAATCTAATCTTAATCTTAAATACCGGTTTCCCCCATTAAAAAAAAGATTATACATCATGGTCATGTGACTGCAGGATGCTGCAAACAAACTGTAAATGTGGATTGCATAGTGCCCAAAATGTGATCATGTGACCGTGGGAAAAGGCAGCCATTGGAGCTTCTAATCCAGGTCATAAATGACCCTTGAGGAGGTCTGTTATAACTTCACATGTTCGCTAAGCGACCGGTCGTAAGTCGAGGCCTCTCTGCACGCTCAATCTGCACCCATGTTTTCCAGATACCTGGGAATCACTCGACCGTTGACCTACCCGGTGAGACAAGACGGGAAACTCATGGCCAAGATGGTCTTCGTGGTTTGGCTGCTTTCCGCTTCCATCACTCTCCCTCCCTTGTTCGGCTGGGCCAAGAATGTCACGGTGGAGCGAGTGTGTCTCATCAGCCAGGATGTTGGCTACACCATCTACTCCACCGGCGTGGCCTTCTACATTCCCACGACTGTTATGCTGGTCATGTACCACAGGATCTACAAGGCGGCCAAAGCCAGCGCTCGGAAACACCGCTTCATGGACTTCCCGAGACCTCACGACCAGGACTGTATCGTCTGCGTAGACTCTGGCGTACGGCCGCCACGGAGCACCAAACGCAGCCAGGCCGCCAAGGAGTGTGCCACGTTGTCCAAGTTCCTTCAGGAGGACCACAAGAACATCTCCATCTTCAAGAGGGAGCAGAAGGCCGCCAGGACTCTCGGCATCATCGTGGGCACCTTCACCGTTTGCTGGCTGCCCTTCTTCTTGATGTCCACCGCCAGGCCTTTCCTCTGTGGCAGCCGATGCAGTTGTATCCCGCTGTGGCTGGAGAGAACTCTGCTGTGGTTGGGTTACACCAACTCCCTCATCAACCCCTTGATTTACGCTTTCTTCAACCGCGACCTGAGGACTACTTTCTGGAATCTTCTGCGCTGTAATTATCGGAACATTAACCGGAGGCTTTCGGCGGCAAGCATGCACGAGGCCTTAAAAGCCACCGAAAAGCATGAGGGTGTATTTTAAAACCCGGAAACCAAAAACTCCTACCCACCTACAATTAGGCCAGGACAGCAAAAGTTCAGAGGTAGGCATTCCTGGTCTTGTAGGGAATCCACAATTAGATCTCGATAGAAGATAATATTTGTAGCTCAGGGTTGAACTTGGGAGGTCCTTCGTCCTATCTGAGCTTGGTTGTTTTATTGCAAACGTTTCATGACCCAACTAGGTAACATAATCAGTTCTGGAAGAGAGGGAGGTTTATGGAAAGGAGGAGGAGGAAGAAGAGGAAGAGGACGACTGTGGGGTCCTTGGTACTCTCTGAGCTTGGTGGTTTCCTTGGTGGACATTTTCATCACCAAACTAGGTAATATCATCAGTGCTAGAAGGGAGTGGGGCTTGTGGGAGAAGGAGGAGGAGGAATGCTCGCATACTTAAAGGCAATTCAAGGAAGGCACGTTCCTTTATGCCTGCCACACACACACACACACAGTCGCTTAAAAACAATTCCCTAAATTGGTTTGTCGAGCGAAATACAATATCATCTGTTTCCCACACGGACCTCAATTTCCAGGTGAATAGCATTTGTCTTCCTGCCTCCCTGAACCTGCCTGTCAGCCTGGGATGAAGCGACGTCAAATGAAGAAACATTTGGAGGGTTGTGCAGCTGCCAATCCAAGCGAAGGGCCACAGAATCCTAGGCAAGAGTAGAAGAGAAGGGAAAGGTTTAGAGAAGACGAGAAAAGGATCAAGACGTCAAAATCTAAGTTGAGTGTTGAATGGTGTGGGAAGCCTCCCCTCCCGCCCCAGAAGAATGAAATATTTTAGGAAATATTTTTTTAAAAAGGCAGAATATTGTATTTCCCTAAAAGAGAAATGGAGAAACATGTTTTTAGAGGCAGAAAGCAGCCCCCAGTCTTTCTTAATAGCCCGCAGCAGATGCCAGCACTTAAGGAGATAAAGAGCTTCTTGAAAGAGGAAACCCACTATCTAGATGTCTCCATTCATAAGCAAAGCAAATACTACCAGCAGAAGCCCGTTCAAGATATTGCAAAATCTCCATTCCTTCCCCACTCCAGGGGAAGGATACTGCAAAATCTCCATTCCCTCCCCACTCCAGGGGAAGGATACTGCAAAATCCCCATTCTCACCCCACTCCTGGGGGAAGGATATTGCAAAATCTCCATTCCCTTCCCACTCCTGGGGGAAGGATATTGCAAAATCTCCATTCCCTCCCGACTCCAGGGGAAGGATACTGCAAAATCCCCATTCCCACCCCACTCCAGGGGAAGGATACTGCAAAATCCCCATTCCTCCTCACTCCTGGGGGAAGGATACTGCAAAATTTCCCTTCCCACCCCACTCTGGGGCCAGCCAGAGGTGATATTTTCCGGTTCTCCGAACTACTCAAAATTTCCGCTACCGGTTCTCCAGAACCTGCTGGATTTCACCCCTGCCAGACACCCTTTTAGAACACAAAATCCCCTTCATTGCAAGACCCCCCCAGAACAATCTAAACTTCAAAGTCATGGAAACCTCTAAAGATCCATCCCCTCATTCAACCGTTTGGTCAGCTGTGACTGTCCCAAAATCACATGTGGTTGGTGGTTTTGCGTCATCATCAATAAATGGACCCTTCCTTTCCAATCAGCCTCCAGCCTCCATTTTATTTCCCGTGTCTTTCTCCCGGCTTGGACCTGAACCAGATGGATTTTCCTTCCAACAAGTATATTTACAATGGCACTGAAAAAAGGTGACTTATGACCATCCCAGAAGCATGCTGTTGTCACTGAAGTTTCTAGCTACTAATTCAGGGGTCAGCAACCTGCGGCTCCGGAGCCACGTGCGGCTCTCTTGTCCCCCTGCTGTGGCTCCCTGTCAGGTGATCCCACCACTGGCTGGCCCTGCCCCTCGCCCTCCCTTCCCAGTCACTCCTCGCCTGGCCTGAGAAGGTAAGGGCTATGACGAAGGATGGAGAAGTGGCCAGGACAGAGACAGAGAGAGAGGTGGGGGGGAGAGAGACATAGAGAGACATAGAGAGAGAGGGGGAGAGAGAGAGACATAGAGAGATACAGAGAGAGGGGGAGAGAGAGAGAGAGACAGAGAGAGACACAGAGAGAGAGGGGGAGAGAGAGACATAGAGAAATGGAGAGAGAGGGGAGAGAGAGAGACATAGAGAGATACAGAGAGAGAGGGGAGAGAGAGACATAGAGAGACACAGAGAGAGAGGGGAGAGAGAGAGACAGAGAGACACAGAGAGAGAGGGGAGAGAGAGAGACATAGAGAGACACAGAGAGGGAGAGGGAGAGACATAGAGAGATAGAGAGAGAGGGGAGAGAGAGACAGATACAGAGACGAGGGGAGAGAGAGACATAGAGAGATACAGAGAGAAGGTAGAGAGAGAGAGACATAGAGAGATACAGAGAGAGAGGGAGAGGGAGGAGAGAGGATGGAGGGGAGAGAGAGAGATATCAAAAGGGTTTTGTGGTTCCCAGTGTTTTTTAACAACTGGTTCTCTGCCTGAATGACTGGCTAGATAAGCATGGCGGGGTGGTCATGTGACTGGCGGAAGTGAGTGACATCGAGTTGGCCCCGCCCACCCAGGTTTTGTGGCTCCCGATGTTTTCTTTGCTGTGGGAAATGGGTCCAAATGGTTCTTTGAGTGTTTTAAAGTTGCAGACCCCTGTACTAATTAAACAGAGACCTCCTTTCCAAAATGCAGCCTGCCTCCATTTTATTTCCCGTGCCTTTTTCCCGGCTCGGAACTGAACGTGGATATTTCTTCCAACAATGGCATGATAAACTGTCTTGGGTAGTCCCCGGCGGGTAGCGGCACGACTGCCGTGATTTCGAGTAACGAATGTCGGCGAGAAAAGTCGTAACATGGGGCAAAACCTCCCTTAAGAAATGTCTCGCTTAGCAACGTGAATTTTGGCCTCCGTTGGGGTCGTAAGTCGAGGATTACCTGTATCGCGTGCTGAATACATGAAAAGAGGGATGCGACGGGATGCTTGGATGTACCCTGGCCCAAATAGAGCGGATGCTGAAATTAAGGCTCAAATGAATTCTGTCAGTATTTTGAGCAGTAAACCTGCCACCAACTCCAGAATATTTTTATTTCTTAAATGCTCGAATAGAAAATTTAGCGCTGCAGGAAACGGAGAGAAATCGGCACGATTTTGCATCTTTCTGGCGCAGCCTGAAAAGCAAGGTTGATTTTAAAGGCAGGGGGGAAAAAAATCAGATTTTTCCAAGTAGAAAGATATCAATAGTCCTTGAGGTATGACCACAATCGAGCCAAAAGAATTTCTGTTGCTAACTGAAACCTGCGTTAAGTGACTTGCGCCCCATTTTATGACTTTTCACACCAGCGTTGTTAAAGCGAATCGTCACGCGTTGTTAAGTCAGGGACAGGGTTGCTAAGTGGATCTGGATTTCCCCGTTGACTTTGCTTGTTAGAAGGTCGCAAAAGCGGATCACGTGCCCCCCTGAGGGGGCCGCTGCGACCGTCGTAAATAGGAGCCAGTTGACAAGCGTCTGAATTTGGATCCCGTGACCACGGGGATGTTGCCACGGTCGTAAAGTGTGAAAAAATGGTTATATGTCACTTTTTTTTCTGTGCTGTTGTGACTTTGAAAGGTCCCTAAGTGAAGTGTTTTTAAGTCGAGGACTGCCTGTATTCCAGAGTCCAGAGAAGAGGGTAAAAATAGAGTTTGCAGGGGATCTTGAAAAAATAATTTGGTTTTTCTTCTTCCCTGACACAGCCTTTAAGATAGGGGTGAAAACGGCCTTTCCCACCTCTCCAGAGGCCCTCCAGAGGTCAGAAACAGCCTGTTTCTCAACTTCCGGTGGGACGGCAAGGCCCATTTTTCGCTCTCTCCAGACTCTAGAGGCTTTCTAGGAGCCTGGGGAGGGCGAAAACGACCTTTCCCACCGCCCCAGAGGCCCTCCAGAGGCCGGAAACGGCCCGTTTCCCGACTTCCAGTGGGACCGCAAGGCCCATTTTTCACTCTCCTCAGGTTCCAGAGGCTTTCTTGGAGCCTGGGGAGGGCGAAAACGGCCTTTCCCACCCCCCCAGAGGCCCACCAGAGGCTGGAAACAGCCCATTTCCCGACTTCCAGTGGGACCACAAGGCTCATTTTTCACTCTCCTCAGGTTCCAGAGGCTTTCTAGGAGCCTGGGGAGGGCGAAAACGGCCTTTCCCACCACCCCAGAGGCCCTCTGGAGGCCAGAAACCAATGGTGGGTTCCTCCCGGTTCGGTCCGGTTCGGCCGAGCCAGTAACGGTGACGATATGACGTCACCGAACCAGTTCTCCCGCCCCCACCCTCCCACCCCCCCCCCCCCCCCCCACGTTATTCTTACCTTTTATTTGGTCCCACCCCCAATCTATTGCTGCCTCCTGAGTCCCAGCTGATGACTAGAGGGAAAAAAACTGTTTAAACTCTTGCCGCGGGACTTCCTACAGCTGATCAGTGTTAAAAGCAAACAAATGAGTCGGGTCGTAAGTGCGAGGACTGGTCGTAAGTGCGAGGACCTTCCAGAAATGACTCTGACCAGCTAGCCACGCCCACCTAGTCACATGACTTCCAAGCCACACCCACAAAATAAGCCACGCCCACAGAACCGGTAGTAAAAAAATTTAGAACCCACCCCTGCAGGAAACAGCCCATTTCCCGACTTCCGGTAGACCCGGAAGGCCCGAAAGTCAGCTGGCCGACGTGCACATGCACACTGGAGGTGAGTTAGGGCAATGCTCGCGTGCCCACAGATATGACTCCACGTGTCACCTGGCATGCATGCCATAAATTCACTATCAAGGGTAAAGGGTTTCCTGCTTGAGCAGGGGGTTGGACTAGATGACCTCCAAGGTCCCTTCCCCCTCCATTATTCTATGTTACCGAATGAACGTTGCCTCTCTTTCTTCAGTCCTCTGTCTCTCTCTCTCTCTCTCTCTCTCTCTCTCCCCCCCCCCCTTCTCACCAACGCAAACACCCCATTTTAAGTCTGAATGTGATGATCTAATTTCACACTTCTTACCCATAATAATTATCTCAGCTGGATGGTTCCCTTTGTCGGAATGCAGACCCTGCGTTTCCATTCCTCGGGGGGGCATTTATTTAATTAACGTGACCTTTTCCCGAAATTATTAAAGGCTGCATTGCGAAATACGGGCGAAAAAAGAGAGAGGGGACCCAACGTTGGCAAACGGAAATGAGCAGAATTAACAATTTTTGATAAGGAATACAAAATAAAAGTCTGCATCGTGGATATTTTGGTACTTGGAGATAACAGAAGGGAAGAGAAAAGAACTGGAAAAAATCCCAAAATACAAAATAGAAACAGAATGACTTTATAAAAGAAAATAAAGGTAGTACCAACCCAGGTAGTCCTCAATTTACGACCACATTGGAGCTCAAATTTTATGTTGCTAAGCGAGACACGTGCTAAGTGAGTTTTGGCCCCATTTTACGACTTTTCTTGCCCCGTTCGTTAAGTGAATCGCTGCAGTTGTTAAAGGAGTAACATGGTTGTTAAGTGAATCGGGAATTCCGATTCACTTTGCTGCACCCGTCATAAATGTGAATCAGTTATGAAGCATCCGAATCTAGATCAGTGTGAACAAATGGTTCCAAGTCACTTTTTTCTGAAGCAAAATTGAGTTTGTTTCTACTGCATCCCTCCTTGGATTTTGATTTTCTTTGGTGAAGACAAGAGGGAACCAAAAGGGAAGGAAAATGGCCAATAAGGAAAACAATAGAAAAGGAATAAAAACGTTAAGAATGTCAAAACAGCATATAAAGAAAACTTGTACAAAATGTTCTATAGATGGCACTTGTTGCCAGCAAGAATGGCAAAAATGTTCCCAAATATGTCACCAGAGTGCTGGAAATGTAAACGGGCACAGGGAACCTACTATCATATGTGGTGGACCTGTCCATCAGCAAAAAGATATTGGGTAAAGATAAAAGGGTGGCTATAAGAGTCGACAGCACAACAAATAGATTTAAAACCAGAACTACCGTATTTTTCGGAGTATACGACGCACCGGAGTATAAGACGCACCTACCATTTTTGGTGAGGAAAAGAAGAAAAAGAAATCTCCCTCTGCCTCTGCCTCTGAGCAATTTTGCCTCGTTGCAGCAAACAGCAAATAGCCTGCTTTACTTTCATTTTCATTTTCAGCATAGCTTGATTAGAACAAGGAGAAAAAAAATCTGCTCCAGCAATTTACCTCTTTGCAGCAAACTGCAGAGCCCTGTGCAAAACAGCTGAGAGCAAATCAGCTGAGAGTCGGGAAGCCGATCCGATCAACTTGTGCTAATTAGGCTGTGCTGAGGCTGAAAGGAGCTGTTTTTTCTTGCTGTTTGCTTGCAAGGAGGTAACTGCTGCGAGGCAGAGGCCAAAGGATGGGGGCCAGTGGGTGGGCGGGGCTACATTCAGTGTATAAGACGCACCTAAATTTTCACCCCCTTTTAGGGGGGGAAAAAGGTGCGTCGTATACTCTGAAAAATACTGTTTTCTTATTAGGTATACTACCAGGGAAATACAATAAAAGCATCATATACTTAATGTTACATGCAATGGTGGGCTCCACTTACCTTCACTACCGGTTCGTAAACATGACTCCATGAACAGATGGTCCGT